GAAGATTTCTCTGTCTTGGTCTCACTCTCTGTCGCTCTGCCACTCTAATCAATCGATCAATCAATCAAGAACCTTGCAAAGGACTTGTGACACAGTTCTTGAATGTAGACCATAATTAAATATATTAGCCCAGTCTCCCAGACCCCCTGGGAAAGAAAGTAGTAAGGACAGGGCAAGATCTTTGGCGCTGTGGGCTGAGCCACTTTTAATCTGAGTGCCCGTTTGAGTACCAGATGCTCTGCTTCCTATCTAGCTCCGTTTCCTATCTAGCTCCGTTCAACTTCCCTGAGGTAGCGACACAGCATGGCCCACATCCTCCAGCCCCGCAGACCCACAGGGCAGATTGACAGCTGGTTCCTGGCTCCTGGCTTCAGCCTGGCCCAACCTGCTCATGGCAATCACCTGGGGAGTGAGCCAGCACACAGAAGTTCTCTCTCTCTCTCTCTCGCCCCCCTCCCCCAAGAATAAGAAATAAATCTGTCTTGAAAGGAGGGAAGAGATCAGCAAAGGCATTGCCAAACTGCCAGGTGAAGAGAGCCCTTGTCTCAGCACACACCGGGGCGGTCTCAGAGTAGCATCACAATCTTGTGTCTGTTGTGCATACTTCTAATGGGAACGAGAACTTTCATGTCTTTCAACAGTTCCCCAAGAAAGGAAAGCATTGAAATCTTGTTTCAAGATTCAAATAAGAGAATCTGAACAATACTCTCTATAAAACAATCACAGTTTTTAAAAGACTTATTTATTTTTATTGGGAAGGCAAATCTACAGAGCAAAGGGGACACAAAGATCTTTGGTTGGGCCCGGCGGCATGGCCTAGCAGCTAAGGTCCTTGCCTTGAACGTGCCAGGATCCCATATGGGTGCCAGTTCTAATCCTGGCAGCCCTGCTTCCCATCCAGCTCCCTGCTTGTGGCCTGGGAAAGCAGTCGAGGATGGTCCAAATCCTTGGGACCCTGCACCCATGTGGGATACCTGGAAGAAATTCCTGGATCCTGGCTTCGGCTCAGCATAGCATCAGCTGTTGCGCTCACTTGGGGAGTGAATCATCGGATGGAAGATCTTTCTCTCTGTCTCTCCTCCTCTCTGTATATCTGACTTTCCAATAAATAAATAAATCTTTAAAAAAAAAAAAAAGATCTTCGGTCCACTGGTTCACTCTCCAAGTGGCTGCAACAGCTGAATTGTCCAAAGCCAGGAGCCTCTTCTGAGTCTCCCACATGGGTACAGGGTCCCAAGGCTTTGGCTCACCCTCTACTGCCTTCCCAGGCCACAAGCAGGGAGCTGGATGGGAAGTAGGGCTGCCAGGATTAGAACTGGTGCCCATATGGGATCGCAGGCATGCAAAGCAAGCATTTAACAACTAATCATATTGAGCATAATTTTCACTCAGTAGAAGGAACCCTTTGCAAACATACCACTTCAAGCAGTTTTGATAAATGACTATGCCCAAACACCAAACATATCAACATAAAGCGCCTTTAAAAAACATTTATTTTATTGGAAAAACAGAAATACAGAGAGAAGGAACTTTAGATACATCTGATCTACTAAACTATAGACAGCTCTACTCAAACTGCATGGGCTCAGGAGGTACAGTCTCTAAATTTTGTTTGCAAAAAGAAGAAAAGTACTTGCCAGTAAAACTTGAGCTGGTCAAGAAATGAATTAAAATTAAATTAAGTTTATAAAATGTGATCCTGGAGAATCAAGATGGCAGAACAGGCTCCCTGCTAATGCACCTGGGAAAGCAGCAGAGGCCAAAGTGTTTCAGCTCCTGCAACAGCATGAGAGACCTGGATGGGGTTCCAGACTCCAGCTCCTGCCCAGCCTGACCCTCGCTGCTGTGGTTATCTGCAGAATGAACTATCAGACAGAAGACCTCTCTGTAACTCAGCTTTCAGATGAATAAATTTTCAAAAAGTAAAAAAAAAAAAAAAATGTGGTCCTGGGGCCAGAGCCATGGTATAGTAACCTAAGCATCTGTCTGCAGTGCTGGCATCCTGTATGAGTAGTGGTTTCAATTCCGGCTGCCACACCTCCCATCCAGCTCCCTGCTTGTGGCTTTGGAAAGCAGTAGAGAACAGTCCAAAGCCTTGGAACCCTGCATGTGGGTGAGAGACCTGGAAGGAGCTCCTGGCTTCGGATCAGCTCAGTTCCGGCTGTTGCTGCCATTTGGGGGTGAACCAGTGGGTGGAAGATTTTTCTTGGTCTCTCCTTCTCTCTGTAACTCTGCAATTCATATAAAAGTAAATCTTCTTTTAAAGTGTGACCCTTTTCCCTATTGTGTTTTCACAATGCTTTCCTCCTAAAACATTAATCCTGTGTTATTGTAATGGCTGACAATATCCTATGATTTTTGTATTCTTATGCTATTACTCTGTGTGGATCCAAAACTTACAACTGCCTCAATTTTACTGTTTCTTTCAGCAAACAGAAAGGACAGGAAATCGGCAGGGCTGCTGTAACCAAGCACCACAACTGAGGGCTCGAACAACAGAGTCTCATCTGCTCACATTCCACTTTTGGCGGTCTCAGGAGCAGGCCAGTGGTGTGGGCTTCTCTTGCGGCCCTTCCGGACTGGCAGGTGGTCAGCATCCTCCATGTAGCCTCAGGTCACCTCCCTCTGCTCAGGTCTGCGTCTGGATTCCCTTGCTTCTAAGGACTTGGGTCAGATTAGCACCCAATCTAGCGACCTTCATTTTAACTGGATTATATCTTTAAAAGACCCTATCTGCAAACAGAGTCACAGTCAGATATTAGGACTGGGCTTGTACATGTGGAACCTTGAGACAAAAAGGGAACCAGCCCCAAACATCTCCCATGGTATTTCAAACAATGTAGAGAAGCAGGCCTGGAAGCCATTCGTGTTGGATTATTTGCTATGACCCTGAAAATCTGTGCGTTTCTAAATTCAATCCCAGAAGCTGCCTTTGGGTAGCAGGCTGGACTCATGGTCAGCACGGACAGAGGACTGGAGGCCAACATTTGGTTAGCCCAGCCCTTTGGCCGTCTGACTCCTGGAGCCACTTATCTCCCCTTTTGGCTTCCTTTAAATGTCCTGCCGGCTTGCAACCACGGAGGAGCGAATCTAAGACTGAACACACCTGCTAACGCCCTGAATAAACGTCTGCTTGTCTCCGTGCTGGGCTTCACTTTGATGGTGACGCAAAGGCATCGACCAGATGGGCAAGAACTCATAGTTTCTTTAAACAGGCACAGCGCTGATGAGACCCACAGTGTCGGCCTCTGTCTTCAGTGTGGCAGTGGGCTTCTCAGAATCTGGGCCACATGACGAGCTGCTGTGGAGAGAGAAGCAAGGAGAGCAGTGTGGAGCCTCAGGGAGCAGTGAAATGCCCTTCGTTTCTCTCCATCTCTGGGTGTCCTGTGATTTATCATTGCTTTTTTACCAAGACATGTTTTACAGAGTAGTTTACTGAAAATTGAACACAAAGTCTAGCGATCAACCCTTCCCCTATCCCTTCTGCCAAACCTTCTCCATGGCCTCCCCTGTACTAGGGCACACTGGTTACAGCTGTGGAGCCAGTGTTGTGTCATTAGTATCTGAGTCCTTAGCTTAGCTGGAGACTCACACTGCACGGTTCTGTGGGTTCTGACCACAGCTGCTGCCACGGGTCCCCATTCTGGGATCACACAGCACTGCCTCAGCTGCACTAAGACCTGTGTCCTGTCCTTCCCCTGACCCTGATCTTTTTGCCATTTCTAGTTTCGCCTTTTCCAGAACGGAGCCTCTTCAAAGTTCCTTTTTTCCACTTAATGGTTTGCATGTAAGTTTTCTCCAAGTCGTCTCCTGGCAGTGATGTCAGACGCCGTTGTCTGCACCTAGCACAGTTTATCAATGTATCCCCCAAAGAACACTTGGCTGGCTTCACATCTTTGAGCTGTTGCCCGAGGTGTTATTGGCAGTTGTGGGCACCAGTTAAAGTGACCTTGAGCACCTGGAAGTAGCTGCTGAGAGTCCGATGTCCGATGCAGCTCTGTGAGAAATGGCCAAGCCGGTCTCCCGCAGCAGCCACATGCATGCATTCCCACCACCAGTGTGGTTTCTTCACCAGGGTCACTCGCCAGTGGCCTGCAGTAGCCGAGCCCAGGCTGGAAGCAGGCATGAGGTGTCTGCTCGTTTCCTGTGGGAGCTCTTGCCGTCCAGGGGCACTAGGAGAGGCGGGTGGGAAGGTGCAGTTCGGCCTGCATGCTTACGGGGCAGTACGGGCAAGGCTGTTATAGTGCTGTTTGAATCTTGTTTCCTTCCTGAGTTTGTTTTATGGACTCATGCTATTAACCGCCAAAGAGGACTGTTTGCATGTAGACTTTCTGTTAAGTTTCATTTAACATATTCTAAAATTCAGGTACTACAAGTATGCGAATTTACAATTGTAATTACTTCCTTATGAATCCATTATTACGAAACATTTCTGCATCTCCGTTCACTTGCAATGTAAAGTCCACTTTATCTAATATTATCTGATCTCGTTAATCCGTAGCACTGTTCAGTTTTTAGTCATGGAGATGTTACTAGCAAAGGCAAGCTGATGTGCCTCATGGGCTTGGAGATGGCAAGTCCACGTTCAGGTGGGCCACTGCAGTAGTGAGGCTTTCTAGTGTGCAACACGCAGGAAAATAACTAGGTGCTCAATACGGAATGGCAGTACGACCAAGGGCAGACAAAGGTCTGGGTTCAGAACACAGGAAAATCCACTCGGCCACGCCCAGGGGCGGTGCGCTCCTCTTAGCCACGCCCACGGGCGGTCAGTTTCCTCTCAGGCCACGCCCACGGGCGGTCCGCTCCCTCAGGCCACGCCCACGGGCCACGCGCTCTCCTCTCAGAAGGCTGGCGGGGAGGCCCAGCTTCCGGTGGAAGCCGGAAGCACCAGCACACCTCGCCCCCGGCCGCTCATGCGCCTGAAGCCCGGTATGGGCGTGGCCGGCAGCACGGCGCCTGCGCTCCGAGGACCCGGCGCCCAGAGCCGAACGGACGCTTGGTGGGCGGGCTGTCGTCGCCGATGAGTTTCCGGTTCCGGCTGTCGGCTCTGTGCGCCTAGTGCTACGTGTCCTTGGCGACTTGTCGGCCGCGCGTTGGGTAAGTTAGGTTAGATGGCGGGGCGGGCGTGGGTAGCTGCAGTGTCGGGTGGGGTGTGTGCCTGTGTGTGAACCTGTATGAGTGTGTGTGGAGCCCTGTGTGTGTGATCCTGTATGTGTGGAGCCTGTGTGTGTGTGGAGCCGTGTGTGAGAGACTGTGTGTCTGTATGTGTAACCCTGTGAGTGTGGAGCCTGTGTGTGTGTGTAGCCGTGTGTCTATGAGAGTGTGTGTGTCTGTATGTGTAACCCTGTGAGTGTGGAGCCTGTGTGTGTGTGGAGCTGTGTGTGTGAGTGTGTGTCTGTATGTGTACGTGTAACCCCGTGAGTGTGTGAGCCTGTGTGTGTGAGAGTGTGTGTGTCTGTATGTGTAACCCTGTGAATGTGGAGCCTGTGTGTGTGTGGAGCCGTGTGTCTATGAGAGTGTGTGTGTCTGTATGTGTATGTGTAACCCTGTGAGTGTGAGCCTGTGTGTGTGTGGAGCTGTGTGTGTGAGAGTGTGTGTGTCTGTATGTGTAACCCTGTGAGTGTGGAGCCTGTGTGTGTGTGGAGCTGTGTGTGTGAGAGTGTGTGTGTCTGTATATGTAACCCTGTGAGTGTGAGCCTGTGTGTGTGAGAGTGTGTGTGTCTGTATGTGTAACCCTGTGAGTGTGGAGCCTGTGTGTGTGTGGAGCTGTGTGTGTGAGTATGTGTGTCTGTATGTGTAACCCTGTGTGTGTGAGTGAGCCTGTGTGTGTCTGTATGTGTAACCCTGTGAGTGTGGAGCCTGTGTGTGTGTGTGTGGAGCTGTGTGTGTGAGAGTGTGTGTGTCTGTGTAACCCTGTGTGCGTGAGCCTGTGTGTGTGAGAGTGAATGTTTGTGGAGCCCTGTGTGTGTAACCTTGTGTATGTGGAGCCGTGTGTGAGTGTGTGTATGTGTAACTGTGAGTGTAGAGCCTCTGTGTGTGTGTGTGTAGCCGTGTGTGTTTGTGTAACCCTGCACTGAGTGTTTGTGTGGAGTCCTGTGTGCTGTGTGTGTGTGTGCGGTGTCTCCCAGGAGGGAGCTGTGCCTCTGGCCCGTGTGTGTGTGTGTGTGTGTGTGTGTGTAACCCTGTGTGCTGCCCTGTGTCCTGCGCTGTGCTGTGGGAGGGTTGATGTTAGCTGCTAATCTTCCTGCCCCAGCCGAGTTCCCTGGTGGATGCTCTGTTCTATTCTCTGAGATGACAGAGTTAAGACCTGGGTTTCAAGAACAAAGAGAAATAATGAACAACTGGGAAATAATGTAGCTTTTGTCTCAGAATATTTACAAAATTCTTTGAGTCTGTTTATGTAACTCCATTTGTTTTCAAAAAGAGTTTATTTGGATGTCAGGGAGAGACGGGGATGGGTCTTTTACTGGTTACCTCCTTAGGAAGCTCTTCAACAACCCAGCTAGGCCTTAGCTGAGGCACGTTTATCCGGGTCTCCCAGTGTGTAGCAGGTATCCCTGCACTTGGGCCATCATCTGCTGCCTCACAGGTGCATCAACAAAAAGCTGGGTCGTACACATGCAGCAGGTGGATTCGGAGCAGCTTTTCCTGGGGGTGTCCTGCTGTACCACAATCCTGCTCTGTGTTATCCATTTGGTTGGTCCCCTGTCCACCTTCCGTGAGGAAATGGGTTTGAGAAGTTTGCATTTCCTAGCCAGGCAGTAGAACCCTCACACAGCTGCTGTTCTGAGGGCTGGCAGCAGAGACACACGGCTCCTGACCTGCTCAGCTGCTACGCCACAACTCTGGAAGCTGTTGAAGATTGCTCAGATGAACCTATATGACATTATGTTTCCTTGCAGTACAAGTGTATACCTGAGTTGAGGTGGTAATTTCTCAGAATTTGGGGCTCTTTCTGTAATCAGTCTGTTTTGGTTTTAAAATTTTATTCTCTTCCTGTCCAATCCATACAATATACTTCTGTAAACATGTATATGTTTTAGAACAATCAGAATGAAATCTACTTTCATGTCTATTCATGTGACACTGTAACTTTTTGGTGGTACATACTGGCTTCTGAGTAATGTAGAGTACATAGAGGAACAGGCCTTTATGGAGACTAAGACACCTGTGTCCCATGTCAGAGTACCTGATTCTATTTCCATTCCTGACTCCACCTTCTTGCTAGTGCAGACAGTGGAAGGCATTGGTGATGGCTTGTGAATGGAAAACATCTGGCTCATCAGGCCTTAAAACCTCTTAGACTAGCCCTGCCAGGGTGACTGCAGGTGACACTGGAAATGCAGTACATCTGTGACGGCTCGTGTTTTTAAGCTGGCTTGTATGGCTTGTAACTGGTGTTTTAGTGTCTAAGTGGCCTTTGGCAGAAAAAGAGGTTCCTGCTGCATTTTTGAGCATTTGGTCCCAACCAGAGAATGGGAACTAGCTTTTCCACCCCCTCCCGCTTTTTCAGCCTTTCAAATGAATAAAGAAATGGGGTACCCACAGAAAACAGTGTTGGATTTCAGCATTGTTGTGTAGCAGGAACAGGAGGAGGAATAAGGATTAGATCTATTGCCAGTTGTTTACGCTTTTGTTAGAAATACCTCCTTTTACATAACGACCTGCTGTCTTTTGCCAGAGAAGATCAGGGATAAGACCTATGCTTTTCTTTGATCTGATGCTCTGCTGGAATTTACAAAACAATGTTAATTTCTTACTTGGACCATACCTTCACTTGCATGAACCCATTGTCGATATCGTTTACATGTTCATGTAAGTCCTTCCTTTATAAGTAATCCCATTGAGTGTTTTTTTTCTTTTTTGCTTTTTTTTTTAACAGGCAATCATGGATCAGGTAATGCAGTTTGTTGAACCCAGTCGGCAGTTTGTAAAGGACTCAATTCGGCTGGTTAAAAGATGTACCAAACCTGATAGAAAAGGTAATAGCTTTAGTGTGATAAAAAGTAGTATTTTTTTAAGCCTTTGCTTTTATTAACATCTAATTGACTGATAACCATTATGTTAATGCTGGCAATACTTTAATTAATTTTGGCTTTATTGTATTTTAGCAAAGATCACTTCCTAACATTTTTATGCTCCTAGTATCAGTTTTATGCATTTTCAGGTGATATTAGATTGGTATTTCCAAATTATTTCCACTTTAGAAAAGTCTTTGGTGCACCCTTTGCCCTGACCCTATCCCAATGAACCAAATTTTAACATGAAACTAAAACTGTAATTATTTTATGTGTTGTGATTCATATGTGTAAAAGTATAGCAGAATTTGTTACTCTTGGACTAGGAACTGGGATTATAATGCAGACTGTAGTAAAATATATCTATGTAATGTGGTACGTAAACAAATAGATGTAGTACAGGGGTGTAATCCTCAGGGAAGTCTTGTAACTAACAGTGATTGTAATTGTTCGATGGTAACTGTTGCAGAAGGCAGCCAGAAAGGGTCCGAGCCTGTGGCAGGTCAAGGCCTGAAGCCCTGATGTAAAACTGTGCTGAGCCTAATTTCATTTCTCTAGGCTGTGGTTTGGGATCCTCATAATATCAAGACACTAGACGTTTTATAATATACTAGAAAGTTGTGTTTCTGCTTTAGTAGTTGATGTGTTATGATAAAAACTATCACTTTAGATTTGTTTTTATAAAAAAAGAATAAATACATGTTTCTCCCATCCATTATTTATTTGTTTGATATTTTGGCTATTTGCTAAGAAGAGTAAATATTTTCACTGCTTATGGATGAATTTAGTAGGTCAGTGTGTACTTTTATATCTGTTTCCTTAAATATCAAGAAATAGTGGGAATTTAAAAACCTGTCAGATGAGCCTATACTTTCAGTGACAGTGCAAAAATTGATTTGGATTTTGTGTTTTTAAATACAGAATTCCAGAAGATTGCCATGGCAACAGCAATAGGATTTGCTATAATGGGATTCATTGGCTTCTTTGTGAAATTGATCCATATTCCTATTAATAACATCATTGTGTAAGTAAATGTAGTTAAACAGACTGTGGGTAAAGGTGTAGCCATTGAATTTGACAGTTACCGTGTCATTGCATAGACAGGGAAATGCTGCTTTTTGCTATGGTTGGGGTCTTATTTGCTTGGGTAATCACCTGCATTGTTGTTAGCTTAGCTTCCAGAACAGCGCATGAGCTTCTCTTTGCCTTGCTTTGGGACGTGAGTAACTTTCCCACTTTGTTCAGCTTTTGCTCAGCACTGCCTCGATCCAGACTTAGGTAGATGCCCACAGGGCAGTCTTCACAGGACAGTACGAGTTGCAGGGCACGTGTGTTTTGTCATCTGTCTGCCGTATCCTCCCCTGCTCTGGAGATGTGCTGAAGCTCTGCCTGGGTGCTCAGGTTCTCGCCTCTTTCTAACCGTGACATGGCGGGAGCAGTAACTGCTGGCATCCTGGAAAGCTTAGCATGTGCTGGGCCTTGTCCTGCTTGTAGCACCCCACCAGTCCTCAGGAGGGGCCTCAGGCCTGAGGGGCTGTATCTTGCTCAAGATGCCAGGCTGGTGAGAGGCACAGGAACCCTTAAGGGGAGTTTATTTACTCCTAAACTTTTTTGTTTAAGGAGTTTAAAATCTGCCTTTAGATGTGTCTTAGTGTGAAGGCCAAACAAAATACTGTGTGAGAAAGCTACATGACAAGCCGTGATAGCTATAAAACTAAAAATTTTTATTTTCCTTTTTTGTTAACTTTCCTACTTGAAAGAGCTTATGTCACTGGTTAAATCAAGGTGAGATGGTGATTAGTGACATACAACTACAGGCTTCTCTTTGTTACATTGAATCATTACAGTTTTTTCTTACAAAGGTCTTTTATCTTTATATTTAATAGCATTCAGAGTTAATATCTGGTATAATTTAGAGGAATCGTGTATATATTTTCTGGCGTTGTAGTTATAACAATACAGCTCATTCATTGATTCTAACATTTATTTTTTTGAGTCAGTTACAGACTGTCTGCCACCTGTTGGTTCTCTTCCCAGTGGTTGTAGTACTGATAGCTGAGTCAGGCTGAAGCCAGGAGCTGCATCCCAGTCTCCTGCATGGGGCCATTTTCTGCTGATTTTCCCAGAGACAGCTAGATGGGAAGTGGAGCAGCTGGGATTGAAGTGGCAGGCATATGGGATGATGTTTTTTCTTGAGCAGTGGGCTTTACCAGCCGTGCCACCTTGCCAACCTCGAGCAGTATAATTTAATAACACAGCACCAAATATGCCAACATTACAGAATAAAACCTGGCATATAATTTTTATTTAGTGATGGAGTTATTTTTATTTACCATCAAAGTCTATACTATGTATTGAACTGTGGAATTCTTTATGTTTTTAAAACATAGGTTCTTCTGAGCTGTGTGTTTTTCATGATATTAAACCAGGACATACTTTCAATCTTTGTTTTCAACACATGTATTAACTAATGAAGACTTTCAAAATCATTCCTGCTGTGTAATTCATATATTTGGTTGTTAAACGATGCTGTGCTACAATATTCCAAGCTTACATTTCTGGAATGAGCAGTGATTTTACAGTACACTGTCCAGGAACCACTCACCCCCAAGGACCTTCTCGGTTCCCAGGGTTCAAGTGCAGTGTGCTTTTGGGCTGTCTTGGATTCAAGTTAAGTTGGCTGTCAAAAAGCTGCTCTTGATTTCACCAACTTATAGCATATTGCCTTGAAAGTTGTTATTGGGTATATGCTCAGAAATGACCATTTTCCTTTGTTTTGCAGTGGTGGCTGATACCTTTTGGAAGACTCATCTTGGGGATTGATGAACAAATGACTTGAGAAACTCATGGAGTAAAAATTTGCCTGCATTTTGTGTTTTTTTTTCCAAGATTTTTTTTTTTATTTCTAAGTTTAAACAATTTCAAAATAAAAAAAAATTTTCCCATGACAGATCTCAATCAAATTTCAGTAATAGAAGTTGGTGGTGAGAAGTCACCTGGACCATTAGGGAATTATAGTCTTTGCTGGTAGAATGTCTGACCTTGATGGGGACAGCTACTGTGTACTAGGGTATGGTGTTGCTGAAGGTTGGGGAGCTGTGACAGGTTGTTAAAGTAAGGCAGCAATGAAGTTTGACATTTTTTTTCTGAGATGTTATTTTGTCCATTTGAAAGAGTTATAGGCTGGAGGGGAGAGAGAGATGGGATGGCAGGGGCGAGGAGAGTCCTTCCATCTGCTGGTCGCAAATGACTATGATGACTGGAGCTGGGTCAGGATAAAGCCAGGAGTCTCTTTAGGGTCTTCCATATGCATGCATGGGGCCAAGTGCGTGGGCTGTCCTTCATTGCCATCTCAGGCACATGAGCAGGAAGCTGGATCAGAAGTGGAGCAGCCAGGACTTGATCTAGTATCCAGTTTACAGGTGAAGGGTTAACCTACTATGCCACAGCGCTGGCCTCTGAAGCTTGCCTCTTTGAGTCTTCATTCATGAAACAGTGCTGTATTGCCTGTAGTACTGTTGAATAGCAGAACTATGTTTTTAGAATTGGAGTCAGTCCTCCCGAGCCCTGTCTCTGCTTCATTGACTTAGGTCGTAAGAAATTTGCCAGGCGGAGACTCTAAAGGAAGTGCTTTCTTTCAGCCCTTTCAAGCTTTGTGAGATTGTGTGAGTTCAGCCACAGCTTCAAGGTTCACCTCTGATTGTATTTCTCTTGTTTCGCTACATTGAAGAAGGATGTGTTAGCAGGCCTGATGACATGGACCTGTTTGGATAGTTTCATCATGGTTCTTAAGTGATCGGATGCCTTGTCAGGGCAGTTGAAGTGTTTTTTCTTCCTGGGCAGTAGCCCTGCATAGTGGGTCTCAGTTGTGTGATCCCAGCTATAAGCAGACATTCCATCATCCAGGCTGTCAAGTAAGGACAGGGAAGGCCTGCAGGGTTCCTCACCAGAGGAAGGTGGACAGTACATTCTGCTTTGCCTGGAAGGAAGGGATTAGTATAGGGTGAATAAAACTATACAGTGAACTTTGGTTTGTGTAAATGTGTAGGTTTTTTCCCCCTGAACAAAAGGTAAGTCTTGAGAAACACTAGGCAGTGTCTAGCAAGGCAGTAGCAAGTGTCTAACCAGAACTAGAAGCACAGGGGTACCCAGGGAACTCATTGTCATCTTGGCCTGTGGTTTGGGAAGGAACAGGTACAGCTGGCGGCACTGGGAGGAATGGCAGAAGTGATGGATCTGGTAGGAGCAGTGGGAGTGGGCAGAGGACGGCGCTTCCACTCTCCACCAGGCAGGGGTGCTTAGCCGGACTTTCATCATCTCATTGCAAGGAGTGATCTGGAGGGAACAGCAGGAGTGACTCTGCCTCCTTGTGGCTGCTGGCCCAGTGCTGCAGCGTTCCTAAGCCAGCAGCAGCCACCCTTATCGGCATTGCACAGAGCTTGTATGCGTGCATGCAATCCCAGTTTGGGAAACGTGGTCCCTCATGGGGTGGCAAGCCTGGAGTAACGGTGGGGCATGGGCATCTTTGCAGGGTGGATGGCTGTTATGGACATCATTTTATTAGAAGGCCTATTGGAACATTCATTCCACCAGGGCTGAAGGCTGGTTTCCACCTGGCACATGCAAGGTGCCGAGGAATGGCTACTAAGTGAACTCACAGTAGTATTATGATGTCCCTAAAGTCCTTCGCCTGTTCCAGAAAGTGATGGTGAAAATGCCTCCCAGAATTTCCAATTGGTCTGTGTAGTGGTGTGAGTGCCCCACTGTGAGTAGGCGTGGGCAGGTCTGAGTACAGGTGTGGTTTGGTCTATGCAGTGAGTGGTGTGGGTGTCCCACTGTGGGTGGGCGTGGGCAGGTCTGAGTACAGGTGTGGTTTGTGAATTGTGAGCACACCTGTACTTAAACATTCCATGATTCAGGGAATTATTGATGACGCTACTCAGATGACATAGACGGGTCCCATGTAGTGAAATAAATATTTTAGCCAAAAAATTTCTATTATCGTAGCAGTACTTTCCTGGTAGCCTGAAGATTGTAAGGATCCAAGATCTAAATGAATTCAGTCATGAATGGAAATGATGATATAGTGGGACACATAAAAAAATCTTCTATTAAATCATTTGGAAGGTGTGAGACTGATGGCTGTTCCATCTGTTGTTGGCATAAATGCCAGCCATAGCCAGCGTGTTTGGAGCTGTTTGGAGCCCATCTCCGTTTTTGTTCTTTCCTGAGTTTCTGTGAGCTTACACAGTTTTCTGACGATAGATCTCTGCTGGAGCCAGCACAAGTAAGTGAAGATCCCTGTTGGGCAGTGGGTATTCCCCAGGCACGGCTCTAGTTTATGCCTGTGCTATTACTGCAGCCCCTGTTGTCACAGTGAGCTGTTGTACCTGGTGACATGAGCCACGCACATTCTTGGAGTAACTCAAGGGCTCCTTGGCTTATCCTGAGGAATCGCAGGGCTGGGATGGCTGTGCCCTGTGTGCTCTGTGCCATGACTGAATGTTCTCTCAGGCTCCTGGTGCTTTTCTGGGTCTGTCTTAGGTGTCACCCACACTTGTCAGATTTTTATGTCGTAATTTCAACTAGTGTTAATTGCCCCCACAACTCTGAATGCCAATCTTAGACGTACTTCTCGTTCCTATTGGGCAAAATTTTTGAGTTAAGGCCTGGGGTGACTGGGAAAACCCTCCCCATGGTTGCATGAGAAACAGGTCCTAGGTTACACACAGTGCGCTGCTGAAGGCCACCCACCACTGTGGGAAAGCACCTGCTTGGGATGGCTACTTTAGAGCCCTGGTGTTTCTGTAAGGCCTTGACTGCTGGTCACCCTGTGCATGCACAGCTTGACCGGTTGGAGAATCTGATTTACAGAGTGCTTGGTACCTTCCAGCTCCATGTCCATTGGAGTTCATGGAACTTACGTGACATGATCCCTTAGTCTGTGGTCGCAGTAGATAGATAGAGGCCACTGCTTTGGCTCAGTGGCTAATCCTCCACTTGCAAGCACAGTATCCCAGATGGTGCTGGTTCTTATCCTGGCTGCTCTATCTCCTGTCCAGCTTCCTGCCTCTGTCCTAAAAATGAAGTGGAGGAGACCCAAGTCCTTGCACCTGTGTGGGAGATCCAGAAGAAGCTCCTGGCTCCTGGTTTCTGGTTGCTCAGTTCCAGCTGTTATGACCATTTGGGGAATGAACAAGCAGATGGAGGATTTTTCTGTTTGCTTTTTCTGTAAATCTGCCTCTTCAATAAAAGACATATCTGGATGTTTTTGGTTCTTGAGTCGAAGGCAGTGGCCCTGGGAACATGTTACAATGTGTGGCTTCAGCACTGTTTAGTCTTTGAAGCACCACGATGCCTGAGGGAAGCCCCCTCCTGTTGCCAGGCCCTCCAGGTATGCATTTGGGCAGACGGACCCCTGCACCTCCTGCCAGCTGTCAGAACCGGTTCTTTGATGAGAATGCACACCGTGTACTGTTTTATGAGAAATACCTTGAGACTTCCAAAGTGTGTAGAAGAATAGAATTTGTGTCAGGTGTTTTGAAAGCATCCGTGGTTTCCCTCAATTTGAGAACCTTTCCACTCATTTGAGACCCACCATGAATGCCATGGCTCCAAGATCTGTGCCTGAGAAGCCTGTGGCCATGTAGGAGAAGTAGTGTTGTCTTCCTGTTGCTGTGCCCATGCCACATCAAAGAGCTGGAATAATCATCTTTGGTTTTCCTGGAAGACCTTTTGATACTCAGATCTTATTTATGCTCAAAGTTTAGATTTTTGTTCTATGTTCTGAATATGATTTTGTTCAAGGGAGACATGGTGTGGTGTACAGTGTAACTTAATCAAGTTGAAGCTTCAGGAGTTACTGTGTGGGTTTCTGTGTGTGTTCACTGTGTAGCTGTTGTTCATGGCTAAGTTAGAGTTCTTAATATATGCTGTGACACTGAATGATGAAGGAAGGAAAGTGTGTGAAGTCCTTAGTGTCTGGTGGGCAGTGTGACATGAACAGAGGAGGATTTGGTGAGCTGAGACAGGTTGGTGTTCCCCTGGACAAGCAGTAACTCTTCGGTAACCTTTGAAGCACATCACTGAAGAGCCATCTGAACTCATTTGTGCAGTGTTTTCTCAAGATAATATACATGTTTCCATAGATGTGAGGGTTCTGAATGTCTCCACAGAGCATGCAGACACTGATTGGGCTTCACATCACGTGACCGTTCCTTGGTCTAAAGGAAACAGCACCCCACAGTCTTCACTGATAGGGGCTGTTACCTAGGTGATGACTCCTTGCAGGCACTGTGTCAGAAGAACTATTTTAAGACCAACAGCTTTATGCCAAAGCACAGACAGAAAGCAGGCTTTCCCTAACCTCTTATTTCATGCATCAACAATCACGGCCCTTGATTTAAACAATACATGTGCTTTATTTCTACAAAAGCAAAGAATGTGAGGTATAGAGAAGGAGCCGGCTGCTCATTCTGTGTTGACATTGCTGGAGCACAGCTGAGCAAGCTCCGTGTTTGGCACAGTCCCCGAATTACCATTCATGTACCCTGACACATCTTCTGGAAAGTTCTGATGTGCGTGGAAATGCCTCCTTATCTTGATCTGGATATTGAAAACATGAAAGTTAACTGTGTTATTATGTGAAATGCGGTTTCTTTTGTTTGCAGTGGTGTAGGAATATCTTCCTGTTTTTCTACAGTCCACAGTTGGGTTTGTGAAATGTCACAAGCTATCTTTGTGATGGCTATAGCTGGAGCCCTGTTTGGTGCTAGATCAGAGTGCTATGGTTGGTTTTAAAATGCCAGATTTAAAAGGCCCCAGGTGAAGAACTGAATTAATTTGAACGTGAAGAGATGTGTCTTACCAGCCAGAATTGTAGAGATTGTTTTCTTTAGAAATTCTACCTTCTAAAACCCAGACATGGTGCACATATTGAAAAGC